AAAAAACAATACGTACGTACTATGCATTATAAATATATACATACTATTAATTTGTTCTTTGAGTATCTTTCCTCTTAAAAAACGTCGTTTTTCGAAATTTATTTTAAATAATGGATCTTCCAAATGGGTATGTTTTTTGATATTTTTTTTGAATATTGAGGGCAGATCTTGACAAAAAAGAACGAGATCAATTTTACGATGACAATCAAATGGTTTTTTCATTTAGTCAACCACGACACCTTGGTATTACACTACCCATTGCCTTGAGCTATCCTACCCCAAGAGAAATTGAGGTTACCGACTTATTAGTTCAAGAACTCATTGCTCAGGGAACTTTTGAGAGCGAAGAAGAAAGTAGACGCCGGTAATTATTTGCAAGATTAATAATGATTGGTAAATTTTTTTAGATGTTCTGATCTTTCTTGTCACAAATGTAGAGAAGTTGTTTTAGGAAAGCTTGATAAATTAGTAAAAGAGGTCGTATATAAGATAAGTAGAGAAAAAGAAAAACTACCCGAACCTGATGCTAGGGAAGCCGGAGGAAAGATTTTTACTTTTGGATCTTATAGACTTGGTGTTCACGGTGCTGGTATGTTATTATGGATAACAAAAAAAAAGAAAGAGAAAATGTCATAAAATTCTAAACAATTTATCTGATTTTGTAGGCACGGATATTGATACATTATGTGTGGTTCCAAGACATGTATCTCGAGAAAACTTCTTTTTAGTGATGCACGAAACTCTTTCGAAACTTGGTGATGTAAACGAATTAACCGTACGCATCGATATTATAAATAAATTAATTAGATTAAATCACGTTAATAATTTATTTCTAATTCTTTAGAGCGTTACCGACGCTTATGTTCCAGTTATTAAAATGAAATTCCAAGGCATTGCAGTTAGTTTTTTTTAAAAAAATATATTCTTCCCATTTTTTTTTTTGATGGACTATCGATTCACGCAATAATATCTATTTAAATAGATTGATCTTGTATTTGCAAGATTGAATTTGCCACAAGTACCTGATGATTTGGAATTGAGAGAAAATTCACTATTAAAAAGCTTAGATGAGACCTGTATAAGAAGCATAAATGGTATGTGTCATTAAATTGAACCATGAATTCCTTGTTATTTATTTTTTATTTATTAAACCAATTTTTAGGATCACGTGTAACAGATGAGATTTTACGCCTCGTACCCAGTATACCTGCATTCCGTACATCATTAAGATGTATTAAGCTTTGGGCGAAAAGTCGGTCTTTTTTGGAATTACACTTCGGCCATGATTAACTAGTTACTAAAA